CAATAATAGCAGCAATAACTGCCTGTGTGAATGCATCATTTAGAAGAGATAAGACATGAAGAGTAAGTTTGAAGAATCTTCAGGACTAAGTGGAAAGGTGGAATGAATGAAAGTCAAGGCAGAAATTTTTGAAAATAAAATAGAAACAATAAAGAGAGGAAATACAAATATTAAGATATGAAAAATTAAGCAGATAATGAATTACTACTAGATTTACAAGAGAAAGAATATTGAGACCAAGAGTAATTCTAGAACTTGGTGAAAATAGTAGGAGAGGGCTGTTGAAGCCTTACAATTAGGATGGGGAGAAGATATGGGTAGAGATCAGGTTCTATAACAACACCTTAATGCCAAGTTAAGGATTAATAATGCCAGATTGCTATGCAAGAGAAAGGTATAGAAAATAGCAATAGCACTTAGACTTATATACCACTTCATAGTGCTTTAAAGCCATCTCTAAGTGGTTTACAGAGTCAGCATCTTGCCCCCAACAATCAGGGTTCTCATTTTACCGACCTCGGAAGGAAGCCAGTCAACCTTGACCTCGTCAGAATCAAACTCCTGTCAGTGAACAGTGAGTTACTGCATTCTAACCACATCTGTCCATCATCACCCCCTCCCTACAACAGCTCCCTCTCCCATGTCATCTCACAAGGAACATGGGAGGGGTGGGAGTGAAGCCAGTTCAAAGAACACCCCTTCCCCCGAATCTGAAGAATCCCCTGCACCAGATGACCCATTCTGCAAAACATCTAGATAATTAAAAAGATTCCTCCCCCCTCTCCCTTGGAAAATGAAGTGGATGCTTGGGCTTCATCAATCACCATGCACCCCTCTGAATTGAATTGAATTTGAATTGAATTTTAATAAACTTATATGCCGCCCAATCCCGAAGGACTCCGGGCGGCTTACATAAAATACAGTTTAAAAAGTACTAAAAAGTTAAAAAGAAATAAAGAAAACAAAGCAGGTTAAAACACAACACACTCAACCGTAGTGGGGATGGACCTCATTCAAGAGGTCAACAGCCCCAGGCCTGCCGGAAAAGCCAGGTCTTAATAGACTTTTTGAAGGCCGCAAGAGTGAGGAGGGTCCGGATCTCCGGGGGTAGATCATTCCACAGGGCCGGAGCAGCTACAGAGAAGGCCCTCCCCCGAGGAACCGCCAAACGACATTGTCTAGTTGACGGCACCCGGAGAAGGCCTATGAGATCTTATTGGTCGCTGGGAGGTATGTGGCAGAAGACCTCTGCCAGGTTAACCCCTTCATTTACAGATTCCCCACCAGTCTCCAGTACGGGGCAGGGAGTTGGGAATTTGAATGACCTTGGCTTGTCTGGGAAACGCTGGTGGAATCACCACACCAAGTCAGGAATGTATGTATCTGGCATTATCCCAGGAACATTCTGACTCTGAGAAACCCCTCCAAGGGTTATGTACTGTAGGCCTTTGCCCCTTCTAAGAGTTTCTGCATCTTGGTACTCCTCCTCACCTTCCACAATTGGTGGTGGCAGGTACTGTGAGCGTAAAGGGCTAGGAAGGACTACCATGACCAGCAGTGAATGATGAAAAACTAGGTAAACATTCATGGAGGGTGGCAATTGCAAACGAAAGGCCACAGCATTAATCTGCTTGAGAATCTTAAAACGCCCCACAAACTGTGCATTAAACTTCTTACCGGGTCTAGTACAGGGCTGTCAAACTCATGGGCTGTGGGCTGGATGAGTCACATGCTGGCCACGCCCATGTCCGGTTTAGCAACGGGGTAAAAAGTTGCGATACATCACTGTAGCTCAGTGATGCAAATTACCTCCCAAAGACCAATTCAATCGCACAGGCTTGGCCTTCTCCGGGTTCCATCTGCCAGCCAATGCCAGCTGGCG